ATGTATATTTTTTATATATATGAAAAGTAATTAACAGTAAGGAATTTGAGCCTTCTTCACAGACAGTGACCTCCCTTCCTGCGAGTGCTGTTGGAGGGGATGGGAGTGACATCCTCAATCCTCCTCATCTTCATTCCTGAGTGAGCAAGCACTCTGAGGGCTGACTGTGCACCAGGCCCAGAGGTCTTAGTCCTGTTTCCTCCTGTGGCCCAGAGTTTGATATGCAGGACGGTGATGCCCAACTCCTTGCACCTCTAGGCCACGTCCTGGGCAGCCAACATGGCAGTGTATGGGGAGGATTCATCTTGATCAGCCTTCACCTTCATCCCACCAGTCACGTGAGAGATGGTATCCTTGCCAGAGAGATCAGTGACATGGACAAAAGTATCACTGAAGGATACAAAGATGTGACAGACATCAAATATATTCTCTCCTTCAACCACCTGAGGCCTGAGGCCGATAACCTGTTTTTCCTTCTTTTCTTTCCCCTTGCAAGGTGCCATTTCTGCAGGTCGTCTTCTGATATGATTAATATTCATTGCCCAAAAATGTGTACATTACTGAACTACAGCATACCTAAATTCTTGAACACAGTTGTATTGGAAAAAAATTAATGGCTCATTTTAACTTTTTATATATTTGATTTCTACAACATACATAACTATTTTCTCTTCCGACCTTTGCAGTAATGGCTGTAATACAATATACATGAAGCTGTTTAGAATGGTAATAAAAATATAGATGATGAAGATAAACTATCTGATTTGAATATGAGCTCTTTTACTTACTAGGCTGTAAGATCTGAGCAAGTTACTTTATCTCTATCATAGACTCTTCATATATAAAATAGAGGCTTAGGATAGAACCTGGAACACAGTGAGAACTCAGTAAGTATTCACAACTAGATGAAGTAAAATGGTAGCCTTGCTCTGTATAATAAGCCAGTTAGAGACCTGGTCAGAATTCTTCAATATTGTAAGAACTGGAAAGACATTATTATGGCTTGAATCTATATACTCCCTCAAAGCCTCATGCAGTTTAAATGGGGCTTTTTGGAAGTATCTGAATCTAGTGTGTTTCTGATTTTGTAGTACAAGGCTGGGATTAAGGGTGTGAATGCTACATTTGCCCTAGGGCAAGTAGGCTGCATACAACATAAGGGATGGAAAGAGACTTGTCCTCTCTCTTCTTTCTTGTTGCTTTTTCTGTCTTCTGCTGCCATGAACAAATGCTCTCTTCCATGTGTCATCCTGCCTGGGAGCCAGTAAATTATGGACTGAAACCTCTACAAACTATGGGATTTAATAAACCTTTCTCTGTTTAATTCTGGTTGTTGGGTATTTTGTTCCAGCAATGAGAAAAGCAACTAAGACTGACATATTGAAGAATTTTTTTATTTTTTAGGGAAGGGTTTACAGGGTATTCAGGGTCTCACTACTGGACCAGACTTGTAGTGATCCGCCTATTTACAGCCTCCCAAGAGCTGGGATTACAGGCGCACACCACCACACCCAGTCTCAATTGCTGTCTCAGTGCACCCTGAAGGCGAAGCCAGCATGGCAGGCCCAGGGATCCAAACCCTGTCCCCTGTGCCTGCTTGTAGGCTCTTTAATCTGCTGAGCTATTTGGCTGGCCCTTTTTTTTTTTTTTTTGTATGAAGAATTTTTATCAGGTACTTACCTTCGTAAGTTTTTGGAGGTAACAAAGCCAAGATGTCATAAAGTCTTAAACGGACCATTGCAGCACTAGCTTTCAGATGAGCTCCATGGGCTTTAATTACAGATGGAATGCTAAAATAACAAAGCACAGCTGGGAGTAACTTACAAGAATGAGCATTATTATTATTATCTTTTTGGTTTCTTTTTTTTTTAAGAATGAGTATTATTTACAAACATATGTAAATATAAATACTGTCATTATGTATCACATTTTCATTTTAGTTTATTAATAGCAAAAGCATTATAAAATTGTGCTTTACATTATTAATACGATTTTTAAAATACACTACTGGGGGTAGAACCAATGGGCTTCTCACTGAGTTACAACCCCAGCTTTTTTTAATTTTAAAACAGTGTCTCAAGTTGCCAAGGCTGAGCTCAAACTTGCAATCATGCCTCAACATGGAGAGTGCTAGAATCACAGGCATCTACTACCATACCTGGCTTACTGTTTCAAGTTTTAAAGCCACTTTACAAAAATTAAGTTTTAGATGCTTCCTGTATGGCTCTAGAAGGAAGTAAACTATGACTGAGGATTATATAAATAATTAATATATGAAGCAGGATGTTGTCATAAATGTTTACTTACTGTGACATCATAGTCATAGCACATTCTATAGGAGTCATTAATTTTCTAATCACATCTTCAGTTAGGAGCTCAGGACAGTGTGCAACAAAACTCCTCATAGCTAGAAAAAAAATTCAAAAGGAATGATTTAGAACAGCTTTTATGAGTTATTAAGCTTACAGAAAGAAAAAGGCATCTAAATCTTTATTGTAATATACAAGGTGCTAAACCATATAGAGCCAAAAGACAATCAGCAACAACTAGGAAAAAACTCATTAGAAAAGACTAAGAAAAGATGGACAGCAGAGATGAAGGCATACATTAGGGAGACATCTGTGAGCAGAAACTCAGACTAAACTCCCATGGGAATTCAGATGACTACAAAGAAAGCAGGTCTGGACAGAAGCAAGAGGGAACCAAATGGCCCAGGAGAATGAGTATTTTTACTAGTCCTCAGAGGTTAGACTAAGAGCTAAGACTAAAATACCTCTCAGATATGTGGAGGAAAAACTGACATCCTGAACTGCACCCTTGATGTTAAACACATATCTCTCCCAATTTGGGAAAAGCACTTTTTACCTTGAGATAAACCACAAGGAACAGGGACACCTAATACAACTTTATTTCCCTTCAGTTGTTGAGCCCTTCAAAAAAGCTGTGTCTAACACTTTATTTTGAGATACCAGGGGGTCAAACTCGGGAACCTGCACTTGCTCGTCAGGTGCTTATGCTGCTGAGCTATCTTCCTGGACCCGTGTCCAACACTTTTGTAATGCTCATGTCTGAAAAATGCATCAACAGCTTCATATTTGACAACAATGAGAAACAAAATGGCCACTTTTCCATTTCGCAAAGACTACTCTTTTTCCTTAGATATTCACTGGATTTTTCCACTTAGTGACGTGGCATTTTTAGCCAGACAGAAGAGGAGGACTAAGAATAAAGAGACTTGGGTTCCAACTCCCGTCTTACCACTAATTCTGACTACTTTCTTAGAGTTTCAGCTTCATTTTTATTATAAAATATCAGTAACTTAGAAATAACTATAATGATAGTGTGCTGGAGTTAGTTATATATAATTTTTTTCTAAACCTAGAAATCTATGAATTTATGATTATACAACAAAATAAAAAAATTAAACTCTTGATTTTACTTCACAGACATTTTAGTAATGTAATATTCTGAAAGTACAATCCTTTCAGTTCTTACCACATAAAGCTCCAGCACGACCTTCCAAAGTTACCTGCCAGGTAAAAGAATCCCCTCGAGCCTTCTCAGCCTCCAATTCCTTTAAGGAACGAGGAAAAACATTTCGCCATAATAACAACATCTTTGGCAGATGATAACGAACAACAGATGGTCCTAACCAAGAAAATAAAGAAGGAAAAAAAGAAAATGAAGGGTACAATACTGTAAATATGAAATATACATTACAAACAAAAGTCAAAGGATGTGAGTGCCATTCAAGTTAACAATGTCATTTCACTCTATTTTTAATCTCAAAATTAACATTAACGTCCAAATGCTTTTATTCAATGACCACAATAAATATATGTTAAAATATACTACAATTCACTTTAAGATGAGTAGAGTGGCATATCACTAAAATTCCAACTACTTGGATGCTGAGGCAGGATTCCAAATTTGAGGCCAGCCCTGACAATTTAGCAAGACCATCTCTAAAAGTAAAACATTTAAAAAAGTGTTCAGGATGCGTAGGTCAGTGGTAGAGGATTCAGCCAGCATATGTGAGGTCCTGGGTTCAATTACCAGCACCCCCCCACGTCCACACACACAAATCACTTTAGAAGTATTACTATTTTTAGTATCCAAAGATAAACACAGGAGAAAAAAAAAAAAAAAAAAAAAAAAAGAACTATCCTAGCTGGGCACAGTGCTGCACATCTGTAATCCCAGCACTTGGGAGGCTAAGGCAGGAGGATTGTTATGAGTTCAAGACCAGCATGGGCTACACAGTGAGCTCATGGCCAGCCTGAGCTGCATAGTGAGACCCTGTCCCAATAAGACAAAAACAGGGGATCGGGGAGATGGCTCAGTGGAATAAGCACTTTCCTGGCAAGCACAAGGGCTTGAGTTCAATCCCCGGTTCCACCAAAAAAAAAAAAGAAGAAGAAGAAGAAAAAACAACCAAAAAGACAAAAACAAAACAAAAACTATGCTATATTAAGAATGGTAACATTATCAATAATACAATTTATCTATCAATAATACAATTTATCTAGATGACATTCTATGATTTTTTTCCATAAATATTACATATGGATAAAATAATATATAATATTATATGTATATATGTACATAAACATATACACTCACTCCCCACACACTCATACAAATACACATGCTTCTTCTATACTGGGGGTAATGTACTGTATATGGTTAGTTTCATAGAAAAGTATATTCAAAACTAATAATCTACATTTACTCTGCTAAAGAATTAATTTGTCATACCACTTAAAATAAACTTCTGAAAAAGCACTACCACTTCTTTTCTGTACTCTCTTGCATCTCCATAGTGGGGATCAAACCTAGAGGAGTGCTACTGCTGAGCTACATCCCCAGTTCTTTAATTTTTTGTCCTTTTGAGACAGGGCTTCACTACGCAATCCAGGCTGACCTTGGAACTCACCAAGTAGCCAAGGCAGGACTCAGTCCTCCTTCCTCGGTCTTCTGAGTGCTGGGATTGGCATACACCACCACACTCAGCGCCAATTTTTATTTTTAATACAAGATCTCACTAAATTGTGTAGGTTGGGCTAGAGCTCATGATCTTCCTGCTTCAGCCTCCCAAGGGATTACAGGTCAGAGACAACACACCCAGACACCACACCCACATACTTACTTTCTTCAGAAAAGAAAACCAGGGCAAAGTATAATTCCCAACAGCCAGATCCCCTTGGAACACTAACCTTGCATATAGCTATACATTATTTACAGTAGCAGCTAAACATGTGAACTCAAAAGTGAACACACAACTTACTGCAATGTGAATTTCCATCCTATGCACAATATTAAACTTCCCTTGTACCTAAGATTTATCACACACTTAAGAAAATGAAGCATGTAAGGACAGTCCCCAAAATGTAGCACAAAGAACACTATTTGATCATGACTTTATCACCCTATTTAAATGAGGACCTCACTCTGAGAAATAAGTATGCCCCATATTCTCAACTCTCTGGATTAGAACTCATCAACTAGACAATGGTTACTCTCTGGTAAAGGCAAAACTTTGTTAACAACTTTCTCTTTTAATGTACTTAAAAGATAAAACTATTACCAAATGATGAGGAAACATCTTTTACAACCATCATTTTACAACATCATTCAAAGTCTAGAAAGAAAATTTTAATAGTTTTAAATTAAATGTTATTTAAAGTCCACTGACAATTACAGAATAAGACAAAAATCCTACTTAAATGTAATTATACCTAAAGTCATAAGTGCGCCAAGTAAAAGCCATCCAGCTTGGGTGCGCTGCAAAGACAGCCGGCTATTTTGGGCAGCAGTTCGTAACAGATCTTCAGCAATACTAACTACCATCTGCAAGAGAAGTTTAGGTTAGATTTTAATTTAAACAAGTTAAATCAAATAGGAAAATAGACAACCAGCACATTTAAAAAGAAGCTGTCCTTTCATGGTTGATGTTACAATGTTCCCAGCAGCAACATCAAGACCTACAGTTCCTATTGTAGAGGTGACTCTGAGGAGACCCAGAATCATGCAGTAGTCAAGAGAAAACTTTAAGCAGGTACAAAGGTATACACCTATAATCTGGGAGGCTCAGGTAGAGGACTGCAAGTTCAAATTCAACTGGTGCAACTCAGCAAGTTAGCAAGACCCTGTCTCGAAATAAAAAATAAACAGCTGGGGAAGCAACTCAGTACAGAGACCTTCAGCTCAATCACCAATACCGCAAAAAAGTAAGAGTAAGCTTTAATGCTAGGCTGCCTGGGTTCATGTTCCAGTTCTGACCTCTACTAGTTCTCTGACCTCTGACCTGGGGCAACTTAAACTCTGTCCCTTAGTTCTACCACTGATAAAACAGGAAGAACAGGACTGTCTAACACACTCCTGTCAGATTTAAATTAACACAGTACACATACACACACACACACACACACACACACACACAAAAGGGGGGGGGTAGGGGGGAGATGGCTCAGTAGAATAAGCGCTTTCCTGGCAAGTGCAAGAGCCTGAGTTCAATCCCCAGTTTAAAAAAAAAAAAAAAAAAACAGGCCGGGGAGATGGCTCAGTGGAATAAGTGCTTCCCTGGCAAGTGCAAGGGCCTGAGTTCCATCCCCTGTTCCGCAAAAAAAAAAAAAAAAAAAAAAAAAAACAGTACAATACTTAGAACAGTGCTAGCCCAGGTAACCACTTAATAAATGCAACATGGTAGTACCATCCTATAGTCAAAACTTTGTTGGACACCTATGACACAAATGGCTGCAAAACTAATCTTATGGAACTTACGGCATAGACTAGGGATGATAAACCTTTTAGAGCTTTCAATGATACAAACAGCTCACTGTGGTATGCATGCCATAGATTCACCAACTTAGACAGAGAAGACAAGGGAAAAATGGGAACCAGAAAGCTGCACAAGACTAAAAAATAAAATAGTAGCACTGATGTCCTAATGGTCAGCAAATAACAGCTAATTTAAAGTAAAGAGTTTGAAAAATTTAAGGCAACAGAAACAAACTGAATTGGTCAAATCTTTAAAGATTTTAAAGAGGCCAGATGTGGTGGTGCACACCTACAATTGCAGCACTCAAGCAGGGAGGCAGGAGAATGACCAAGAGCTTGAAGCCAGTGTAGGCTACATGAATACATAGGCCAAGGGCACCAAGCAGGCCCAGCCTGTCCGAAGGTCAGAAATGAACTATATGGCAAAACCCTGTCTCAAAAAATCCCAAAAGGAAAACAAAACCAAACCAACCAGAATGAAAGTCTGGTTCAAGTGAATAAAAAAATGCTAATATAAGAAAGGCCTAGCAGTTAAACAAAGTCTTGGGAAAAAGCATGATAATCTCTGAGTAGAGCAGTAGGAAATCAGAATAAACGGATAAAATAAAGGCTAACTACGAAATATTGGCCTATCAGAAAGACAACATTTTATTCCCTGGGTATAACATAGCACCTAAGGATCTCTGAGCAAACATGAAATATGAAAGTGGTGTATATTGGGCTGGTGAGATGGCTCAGTGGTCTAAGCACCTACTTAGAACAAGTTTGGCAAAGCACAGGGACCACGGTTCAATCCCCCAGCACCACATGCCAGCCAGCCCCGCCCCCTGGTGGGCTGAGCTGGC